CGCCCCGCCCCCTCTAGATGTTGTGTCCCAGGAGCCGCCTCCTCCCACCCTCGACGACGGCACCATCACCACTCTCCATGGCTAGGCCATCACCGTCCTCAACGTGAAGGTCCTCGTGCCGGTCTCCGTCGATCTCGCCGCCGACAGCTATTCCCGGTGGCGTGGATTGTTTCTCATCGTCCTCGGCAATTATGCGCTTGCGGACCACGTGCTCGTCGGTGCACCTCATCTCGATCAGGGGAGCCATCCTCGCCGCCGCACGCTTTCCCGAGCGCACGCTTCCTGTTCGACAGGGGTGTGCTCCGCCCTTGCTGCCCCTCTAGCCTTCCCTGCGTCAGCAACTTCGTCCGTGATCCGCTCACGGCGACACCTCCTCATCAGGTGTGAATTGAACTTATCCTTTACTTTTTTACTTGAGAGTGAATTTTAAACTTGGAGAATTGAGGGTTCAAATGAACTTATCTGTTGCTTTTTACTTGAAAAATGGTGATGAGTAAAATAAACGTAACATAATAAATTTTTAAAATTAATAATAACGAATATAATAAAATTAAGAAAAAAAGTACGAATTACTCCAGAACTATCGTGGTCGATCGAATTAACCCCCTAAACTCAAATACCAACTATTTCATACCGTAAACTTGTAAAACGGGACGAATTACCCACCTGCTCCAAAATCATCATTTTTTTAAAAAAATAAATCGTTGGAACCCACCTATTAGCTTCTCTCCCCCTCACCCCTTTCTCTTCCATTTTTCATTCCTCTCTCTCTCATCTCTCTGGCGTCGTGGGCGGAGAGGATAGTGGTGGACAGCACTGTCGGCTGGAGGGCACGGGCGGTGGGCGTGGAGGACGGTGGAGGTGGCAGGCCGCGCCAAGGAGGATGGTGCATTTGGCGGGAGGTGGAAACGTGGGGACGGCGCGATGGCCGGTGGGCCGCGCTGAGGAGGACAGTGGAGGCTGTGGACGCTGCCAAGGCAAGGGGCTATGGCGACGTGGCGACATGTCCTCGATTGCTGTCACGCCCGGAATTTCTATCCAAAATTCCAAACGCTTATGTGTGTGTAAACCCTTATCCAGGAATCAGCCGAGGCACACAATAACAAATTGATAATAGAGTACAATTATTACTCTAATTAATAAGCGAATAAAATGTCATTACAGAGGTAGATAGTTCCTCTCAAACAATAAAGTTCTAAGCAGCAGAAAATAAGATAAACAGCGTAGACGACTCCATTCCACAGGCAGCTTGACCAGGGCTACGCCTAATCCTCCACACCATAAGCATCACTGTAGAACTCTTCCTCTGATGAATGATTGCAAAGTGAGTATATGACATACTCAGCAAGTCACGCAGCAAATATGCAAGTGCACAGGATAACAAAAGATGGCATAGTATAGTCTCATTTGCATAAATAGCATTTAATAAATATTTCAGAATTTAATAAAACAATAGAGTATTAATTAAACAGTATTAATCTAACGCTATATAACATACCCTGTTGCATAGGCCCAACCATTCTGAACAACCAATCCCGGCTGCACAGTTCTATCTTCAAACCAGGAATATACCATTCCAAACCAGGAGCTAACAGGTTATTAACAGCATCATTTAATATAGTGAGAAGTGTGAAACTAATCACGAAAGACATTATTAGACCCGCCCATAACCGCGGGCACGGCTATTCGAATAGTTTAACTCTGGCAAGAGGTGTACCACTGTACCCACAAGACACAACCTCAACATCATGTCATCCATGCGTCGTGATACTTAACAAGTACCCAAATAGAGATTGTGACAATACCCTCTATATAACACAATTCAAAGCAGTGCACCGTTCCCGGATCATAATCACCCCCTTTAAACAAGGCATGGACTCCCCAGTGACCCCCGTGGGCTTATCTCCGCCACTTCATAGTCTGGTGCTCTACAATGATCCATACTATACAGAAAGTAAAGTCGTTGCCCACGCTGGCTTGTGGTTGGCACGGTTAATGTTTCACAACCGAAAATCGTGAACCGATCCTTAATTGTCATGAGCACGACCATCAAAACCATGTGCTCACAACCCACCATTATCAAGTTTTAGTTGGCAAATTAATTAATCAACCAATCACGATTAACCATCGTGAGCTATCATTTTACCATCATTAAATAATAGTGAATCATGAGTATCCCATTTATATGAGCTAGTGTCTCTAAGCATGGCTAAGCATCCTATTCACTTTAGCTAAAACTATATAATGTTCTAGCTAATCAAATTATTAATCAAGTGACAAAGAATAAGGAATCAATAGCAAAAGGGCTGTAACAAGGCAATAGGTTATTTCCACCCAATGACATTCAAAAATAAATGCAATAGTTGAATAGAAACAATAGCTTTAAACGGGATCAACATGCTCAAAGGGTTGTTTAGGATCTGTGTGACTTGCCTTGCTGGCCTTGGAACTCTTCACAATCTTCTCCTGCGAAATCGGACTCTCCGGGAACGTCGGAATCTAAGGAGAAAAGAGCAAAATCACCAAAACAGCACATAAACAAGCATGAACAGTACATGTGGATATTTTTAACATGTAGATCTCAATTTTAGAAAAATTTAGAGACTTGAACCAACTGAATCCGAGCTAAGATGAAGTAGTTATGAATTTTCAAAGATTAAATCGAATTAAATCATTTATATAGATTTTAATTGAATTATGACGCAATAATGAATTATTTTTGAAAAGGAAAAGGGGATTATTGCGTCAGCGGGCTCGGGTTCACGGTGGACCGGGTGCACGGCGGCGGTCTACAGAAACGAACGGCCGAGATCAATCTAATCCATAACGAACGACCGAGATCAATCTACTCCATAACGAACGGCCGAGATCATCTTGATCTACCGCGGTCTACGGGAGTCGGCGACAATGACGTCAGCGGTGATGTCACCACCGGCGGCGGCTCGGCCTCGCATGCTCGCCGGCGAACGACAGCGCGGCGGCGCAAACGGACGGCACCTACGGGTAGCGGGCGGCGCGGCGAACTCACCGGTGACCTAAACTATGGCGGACGGCAACCGGACGGCGACGGCGACGAGGAAGAAGCGGCGGCAACGGTCGGGTTGACGACGACGGCGGTGCTCTGGCGATCCTTGGCAGAAACGAAGGGGTGGACGAGGACGGCGACGGCTTGGCGATCACGACGGCGGCCTTCCTGAGCGACGACGACGACCGGAGCGGCGGCGGCGCACGGCTGGACGAACTGCGGCGATGGCGGCGCACGGCTACTCGGGGCTAGGGCGCTACGAGCGGCGGCGGGCTAAGACGAGGGTGGCGGCGGAGAGAGGAGGTCTTGGGGGTCCTTATAAAGGGGCTAGAGGGTGGCGACGAAGGCCCACGGCGGCCGGCGACGGCGATGGAAGGTTAGGGTTCGAGGGAGAGAGACAAATCCGATTCGAGATCGAACCCGATGATTTCCAAACGATTTTAGCCTATGATTCCAAAAGAGAAAAGGTAGAGGAGACCTCGGGGATCATTTCCCCTCTATTAATTCGACCGGATCGGGAAAGTGGCGGCCGAATTTTGGAAGGGCGGCGGCGGAGACGCGCGGCTAGGGTTCGGCCGGGCGGCGGGAGGTTGACGACGAGTCCGACAGGTGGGCCCTACCTGTCAACGGGAGGGAGCGCGCGCGCGCGAGCGGCGGCTCGGCTGCAGGCCGACTGGGCCAGGGAGAGAGGGAGCGGTTTTGGGCCGACTTTGGGCCCAAAGCCAAAAGGAGGAATTTTAAAACTTTTTCAATTTAAATTATTCATGAAATACAATTCTATTTATTAAAAATACTTCCTTGGCTCAAATAAATCCCAGAAAAATCTAGTAACTATAGAATCAAGTGAAGTATTTAATAAAATTTTATTTGGACCACTTTTATATTGGAATTTATTATTTAAAATTAGATCTTCTCTTCTAGGCTTTTAAAATTATTTCTAATAATTTCAACTAAACAACAATTTATATATTTGGGATTTTTAGGGTGTGACAATTGCGCCGGCGTGCGTGGATCCTCCTCCGCATCCGCCGGTGCACAGCTCCTGCTTGGTTTTCGCCGGCGCGAGCACAGCTCCTAGGCTCTATCTGCCATCCCTGTCGTCTCCGTCGCGTTTGGCTCCGCGCCACGCCGCACCCGTGACATCTGAGGGAAGGAGAGAGAGTTTAGTAGTACTCCATATGACATGTGGGACCTGCTAATTTTTTTTTTGGGGGGATTGGATTGCCATGTTAGCGCCACATGTATACCATGTAGGACAAAACGGTTTCGACGAACTGCCACATGTACACGTAGGATGAAAACACTCTATATTGAGTAGGGGGATAATTCGTCCGGTTTTAAAAGTGGTGTGAAATATCTGGTATTCGAGTTTATGGGGGTAATTCGATCGACGCGATAGTTCAGGGGGTAATTTGTATTTTTTTTCTTAAATTAAATAGTGATGAATAGTTTTTTTTTTCCAAAAATTGATCGTTGGACACAACAAGCTCAGTAACACAATGAATTTTTAAAATGAATAGTGATGAATAAAATTAAATTAAATAGTGATTTTCCAAAAAAAAAAAGAGTCAGTGTAGGACACAACTAGTTCAATCAAGACGAGGAAATCCAAGGCCCAGAATAAACAAAGTAGACCTTCACAAAGGCATTGAATCGTGCAATGCCATTTGCAAATATTGTACGATCTGCCCATCTCAACTTTTAGTGTTTCTCGCCGGCAGCGTCCATGCCTCGGTTTATAAGGTAGTGCAATGTACGTGGTGCATACGTGGCTAATTTAAGGGTAGTTTTGGATGACGTGGTGCATACGTGGCTAATTTGACTCGGTCTTCATCTGACGTGGCGCTTACGTGGCAATTCGTTCCGAAAAAATAATAAAACCCGTAGGACCCACATGTCAGTTTCACACATAAATTAATAAAAAATGGTGGGGCCCATGTGGGCCCCACATGTCATTCTCACCCCTCTTCTTCTTCCTCCTCTCCCTCCATCTCCCTCTCTTCATCTCTCTGCCCTATCCTCTCTCCAGGTGCGACGGAGAGGCAGCGGCGCACGGCGGCCGGCGGGAGAGAAGGGAGCGGCGCGGTGGCGGAGGCACGGCTCTGGCAGCTGTGGGCGGAAGAGGAAGGGGCGGTGGGAGTTGGCCCTGGCTGCGGCAGACGGTAGGACATGAGCTGCACAACTGAGGCCCCGCCGGCGCCGACTCCTTCTTGATGTCACCGGCGCCGCCAAGGCTGACGAGGTGGACGCGGTGGTGGTGGAGGAGGAGGAGGACGGCGGCGCGGCGCGGTTCCATGAGCGGAGGCTGGTGGTGGTGTTTGTGCTGCCGTCCCAGCCGATGTGCGCCACGTGCTGGCGGTGGTGGTCCGCCGCGCCGCCACCCTCGCCGCCGCCGCCTAGACACGTACACAACATCACTAATACCAAACTCCTAAATCACCCCGCAAAAAACAATCGACAAGATAGAGCAGAAGTGAAGAATAAGCATCCAAGACTCCAAACAACGAACCTTGGGGCTTCTTGCCGCTCTTGCCGCCTCCATCGACGACGTCCACGCTGGATCCATTACGGCAGGTGGAGAAGGGGATCACGATGAACCGGTCCATCCGCCGCTGCTCCTTGCCACTATTACTCATGGCTAGCTAGCCACTGCTAGCTAAGCTGATACTATCTTGGAATCAAATCGCTTGCCGCTTTGGCTGAACCTGTACTGGTACGATCATTTTTAGTAAAAGAAAGGGTTAATTAAGAAATGGGGTTCTTGACCCTTGCTAAAAAAAAATCTTGGAATCAAATCAATGTCTGCTCCTCGCCGGCGTGCGCTGCGACAGCGGCCAGATGTTGAGCGACGGGAGCAGCACCTCCGTGGCCTTGGCGACTGGTGCCGCGGGAGCGGCGGGCCGGCGGCGGAGCCTCCCTCCGCGGCCGACGCATGCTGGCTCCCCTCGGCGGCGGCGGCGGCTCTGGGGGCGTCCTCCGCCATGGCTGCGGGTAAGTGGGAGAGGGAGAGATCTATGGCGTGGAGAGGGGAGAGACCGAGAGGGAGAAAAGAAGCTCCGCCGCCCCTTCCTCTTCCATCCACAGCCGCCGGGCCGTGCCTCCGCTGTCGCGCCGCTCCCTCCTCTCCCGCCGGCCGCCATGCGCCACTGCCTCTCCGTTGCGCCTGGAGAGAGGATCCCAGTCCGAGAGAGAGATGAAGGGAGATGGGGAGAGAGAGGAGGAAGAAGAGGGATGAGAATGACAGGTGGGCCCACTTTTTTTATTATTTTGTGTGTGGAACTGACATGTGGGTCCCATGGGTTTTATTATTTTTTCTGGATTAAATTGCCACGTAAGCGCCATGTCAGTGCCACATCAGATGAAGACCGAGTCAAATTAGCCACGTAGGCGCCACGTCCGCCAAAACCGCCAAGGGACCTTATCTGCACCGGTTTTAATAGTTGAGGGACCCGTTGTGTCTGGTTTTTCGGTTGAGGAACAAAAATTAGATTCGTTGACAAGTTAAGTGACCTCAGATGAACTTATTCCCCATCGTCAAGAATCTGCCACGCGCACACACGCAACTAGATGATCTCGTACCTATGGGGCTGCATGCCCCAGCATGACTGGCACCGTCTCCATCTTGGCCCAGACACTCTGCAGGTAACCTGGCATCACGGTGATCACGTACACCATGATCGAGATGGTGAGGGTGTAGTTGTTCCTACCGTCCATTGCTCAGGATGATCGGAGGTGTCTTTTGTCTCTCGGAAGCAGCGGTGGTCGTCGCCTGACTTCATAGAGGTGGATCTCCACGCCACCAAACCCCTACTCCCACCCAACGACTAGGATACTTCTAAACCAGGACAAGAACATATTAAACCCGGTCAGGATCGCGGTGATCACGTTTCACGTACACCATGATTGAGATGGCGACGGCACAGTCATTCCTACTATCCATTGCTTAGCGGGGCCACAAGAGTTTTCTCGCTCGCTCGCTCTCTCTCTCAATCTCGCTATAGCTCATCGCCGCTTTCTCCGACCTCTCCGCTCCTTTTTCGTTGGTGGTTCACCACAAACAGAGGGTGTGAGAGGGGCCGGGCCTTCTTGCATTGCTTGCCTAGTAGTAGTAGTAATCGTTGTCTTTTTTGTCAGGTTCTCCTGTTAAGTCGCATCAATTCCATCGGTATTTACCTTTTGCTCGAGGTGGTCGAAGGTGGCTTTTGTCTCTCGGAAGCGGCGGCGGTCATCGCCAGATTTCCTAGAGGTGGATCTCCACGCCGCCAAACCCCTACTCGTAGTCGATGGCCAGGGTACTTGCACACCAGGACAATAACAGATTGTGTCGGCCTTTTGTTCGATCTCAGGCGAGGTCTTTCCGAAGGGGGCAGCCATGCATATATATTATTGATCTCCGGTGAAGAATAACCTCGCAGCGGCTGAAGTATTCTAGCTATGCCGAGGTGCCCTGAACCTCCGTGATGGTGACGAGTCCTCGATTCCGCCGGGGCGCGTGGCTCCTCCTCCGCATCCACCGGCGCACAACTCCTCCTTAGTCCTCGCCGACGAGCATGGCTCCTCGGCTCCACCTGCCATCCATGTTGTCTCCATCGTGTTTGGCTCCGCGCCACGCCGCTCCCGCAACGTCGGAGGGGAGAGAGAGAGTTTAGTACTACTCTATATGACATGTATGGCCCTGTTAATTTTTTTATGATCTTTTTTTTGGATTAGATTGCCACGTTAGCGTCACATGTATGCCATGTAGGACAAAACCGTTCGGAACTGCCACGTGTACACGTAGGATGAAAACCACTCTAAATTGAGTCAGGGGTAATTCGTCCGGTTTTAAAAGTTTATGGTGTGAAATATCTGGTATTCGAGTTTACGGGGCAATTCGATGTAGGCGATATTTTGGGGGTAAAAATTATTAGTGATGAATTAAATTAAATTAAATAGTGATGAATAGCGTTTTTTTACCTAAAAAGTGAACGTACGGCAACGAGTTCAGTCGCGACCAGTCGCGCGCGGCCGCGCGCGCGCGATCAGTGCCCCCTCTAGTCCGATCTCTTGCCTATATATACGTCCTATATGTATATATATACGTATATATATACATACGTATAAACTTTGTATACATATATACAAAGTTTATATGTGTATATACATAGTATATACATACATGTGTATATATACATAATTTTTTATATGCATGCACTTTTAATGTATAAAAAAGATATACACATGTATATAAAGTTTATGTGTATATACGTATAAAAAATCTAAAAAATACATGTATATAAACTTTATATATGTGTATACAAACTTTGTATACGTATATATAAAGTTGGTATATGTATGTATAAAAACCCAAAATATACACATATACAAACTTTGTATATAAGTATATAAAAGTTTGCATACGTGTATACAAAGTTTGTATACGTGTATATAAAGTTTGTATTCGTACGTATATAAAGTTTGCATACATACGTATTAGAAAACGGACAAACAGAAAAATATACGGGAAGAAAAAAAAAGGAAAAACGAAAACCGGAAAAGATACAGAAGAAAAAAAAACAGAAAAAAACAAAAAAAAAGGGAACCGTACGCCCATACGCGACGTCGGCCGCCTCCTCTGTCGCGCGCGGAAGGGCTATTAGCCCACAACACGAGAAAGCCCAAAAAAACACATAAGCCCGTGGATTTATAGAAACAGTGTTGGGCTAGTAGTAGGGGTGAACTCGCCGTAGTCGCTGAAATCCAAGGCCCAGAATGAACAAGTTATACCTAAACAATATATGGTTTCGTGCAAATCCGATAACGAATATTGCACGATCTGCCCAGCTCAAGTTCCAGTGTTTCTCGTCGGCAGCATCCATGCCTCGGTTTATAAGTTAGTGCAATGTTCATTCGGTGAGCGAGGTGGGACTAAATCCGCACAAGAACAGTAGCTGCACCGTATGGGCCTCAAATTAAGTTCCTCAAAGCGAAAGGCCCGCAGCCCATATGTGTGCTGGGCTCGCGCGCCGGCTGAGCCATCGTCAAGAATCTGCCACGCAGTCAGAGTGGTGTGGCCGTACGTCGTCCTGCAAATTCTTGCATGCGAACGTGCATTGGACGGACGGATTGTGTTGGCTGTCGTTTCGCCTTCGATGCCACGCGACGGTCCACACGCATACACACCATGATCGAGATGGCAAGGGTGCAGTCGTTCCTACTAGCCATTGCTTAGGATGATCGGAGGTGTATTTCGTCTCTTGGAAGCAGCGGTGGCCGTCGCCAGACTTTCTAGAGGTGGATCTCCACACCGCCAAACCACTACTCCTAGCCAATGACTAGGGTACTTCTAGACCGGGACAAGAACAGATTGAATTCATGTGCTGATGCGAATCAGGATTAAAAATGATGCATGTTTCATTGGTAGTTGCTAATCCGCCTGCAAAAGGAAAATGTCGTTTAGTTAGAATTATGTGATTTATCACGGTGGCAAATATGTTGAGGAATAGAGGATATATGTTGACAGCTGGAAATCTTCTCATATCCTTATTTGATTCCAAATCCTTCTAAATACACCACATCATACAGCAGCATAAACAATATAGTTTTCATAGATTTGTCCACAACATAATCCACAATGGTTCTTAACGATCCCAATGCAGTCTGAAAATTACTCTCTCCATATTTTAATGTATGACACCGTTAACTTTTTTAACCAACGTTTGACAATTCGTCTTATTCAAAAATTGACAAATATAAAAATATTTATGTCATGCTTAAAAAACATTTGATGATAAATCAAGTCACAATAAAATAAATGATAATTACATAAATTTTTTGAATAAGACAATGGTCAAACGTTTGTCAAGAAGTAAACGGCGTCATACATTATCTAGGCAAACTTAGTATCATGGGTAGCAGCACCACATGTATATGATGACAATGACTCAGTGAGTACAAAATCTAGTATCTCTGAAGGAAACAGAAGGCAACAATAAGTCAATAACCTGAGAAATTTCAAGAGATAAATCATGTTCAGGGTAACAGGTTCTTTCAGAAATATTTGCCGCAACCAAAATTGTAGTTACTCAATCCATGCTGCTAGGATGTCTAGTGATGCAAGCAACACAACATGCATGGATTGGGGATATAATATCAGGACTGAACTATGATTCAAAACTCAATCTCAGTGTTACTTCCAGACCTCAAACATAATATTCAGACCTCAAACTTATTATTATTTTTTTTTAAAAAAAAAAGAAGAGTAGAGTCCAGATTTGAGCTGTTATCTTAGCAACTCCACAAACCACACCAAACCTCAAGAATGGATTAAAAAAAAAGGAGAATTCATCAGATAAAGGGATGATGGTATGGATAAAGGAAATATCCTACGTTTTGTCATGTTCAGAGTAACATCCGGATGAGCAGAATCAAATTATGATGAATACTGGGACTCACTCACTCACAACCTTGGACCATCCATGGGGTTTGGTTTGGTTGCCTTGGTGATGCCTTTTGATTTGAGTTTTGGTGATATAAACAAACAGTGGCAAAGCTGCTAACCACACAAAAATCTTAGCAGACATCACCCGCTAACGATGTCGGTGAACCTAACACCTCAACACTGCCCTATTGAATTTTCTAAATTTCTAATTGATGTCAAGGAGATTTTCCTGAACCTTGCAATCAGATATGATCCATGGATACATAATCATAAACAGAAAATAAAAAAATTGAACTTGCACTAATGTTCAGAATGTGGTTTTGAAAACTACAAAATATTCAAGATACCATTCTTATAATAGTATTCAGATTATATGTTCATGGGCATTTAGGGTTTGGGGGAAGATACCATGCAGCAGGTTGGGGTCGTCATGTGCCGTCGTCAGCAAAATCTTTTTCTAGTGCAGAAAAATTCAGATAACTTTTCTTCAATACTGCAACCAACTATAGTGAATCTTGTGCAGAATGTCTGCTTCTGCAGAATAGGTGACTGAATTTGTGGTTGTTCAGAACTCAGAATATCCAATGACTGGATGTCTGCTTGTAAGGAATTAAGAGTATAAACACTAGTGACATAGAATACAAATTCAGAGTACCGTGAATCCGCAATTCAGAGTATACAGTGATTGAATGTGTGCTTATTTACAAATTACAATAGGGTAGGCTCACAGGAATTCACAGCCAGTCATTATCTACTGAGACTGAAATGAAAATTATGGTGTCCACT